TGCTATTTACCGCCTGTCGCACCAATAGACGCGACTCAGAGAGTTCTGGAAGTAGCGATGAGGATGAGGAGGAGTTTTCTTTGTCTTCCAGCTCAGTTACCATCAACGACGGCGACTTCGAGCCGGCAGAGGAGGCAGAAGACGATATGGACATGAATAATCATTCTTCAATGAGAATGCGGGAGGGCAGTCGAGCTCCTTCTGCTGCGACTTACTCCAGACGCTTGTAAACAGCCCCTCTCCTCTTACATGCACAGACCGTCTATCCTAGGCTAACCTGTAAACAACACAATCAATCGCTTATTTTATTCGCATCAACAACCCAAACGGTTGATGCGGTCGTGCCTTTAACGGCACTGGTTCCCCTGATAATCCCCTTCCCATACACTCCTCGTGTCCCTTTTTGCATAAACCAGCTGTGTACCCATTGAACACTATTGAAACTTCTTTACACTTCGAAGATCCACTTATTATATATATGTATGTATATGTAATGTATTTTGAAGAATAGCGTTTTCTTCATATACGGCAGGCTTTAAAAGAACATACAGGCTGATTCAGCAGATCGAAGCTGCACAGCACCCGAGAGGTAGGGGAGTATTTCGAAGGGGGCGCTTCGCTGGCAAAGTCACCTCTAAACAGAAACCAGTGGAAATAATGTTGATTTGATCGACTAGATTGCTGGAATTCTATCCATTCCAAACATACATAGTTTACGTTGGGTGAACGGTTAGGACAATGGGATGCACCAAACTTCCGTAAGGATATGATCCGAAGCCCACCATCTACACTTTCATTTTCCGATCAAGTGACTCAGGCAAATCATTCCGCTACCAAAGCTTTCGCACATTAAAACCTGATGCAACATATTCACAACACAGATACTGGCTCAAGGACGCTGCTTACTCCAAGTTAGCGATTAATTTGTTGGGGAATTAAAAATCACGAAGCAAGACTAATGCTGCCAAGGATTAATATTCAAGTGAATTCCTCTTATTAATCAAGCATAAAAGCTGAAAAAGGGTAAAGTCGATGGTTTTCTGAACACAAATGATTCTTGCTGCTCTTGAATTTCCAGGCAGCAATTCCACGGATTCCTGTTTGTCAATCATAATGCGCAATTTAGCAGTTGGTGAAAATTTCTCGTCACAAGCATATAGGAAATAACTGTCAGCCTCTTATTCTATCCTAAGTTATTTTTGGGTTTTTATAGTTAAAATAAGAAAATATAATGTCCCAATTTTTCATCCATCAAAAGTTTTTATCCATCCCCGACGATGACGGTGGGAAGCAAGCACAAAAGTTGACAAGCTACCAGCCAGAAGACGACAAAGATGTGCGGGAAACTTGCCGATAGTGCAATGTTATAAATGCCGTTCCTAGTACACGTGATCGTGTCGCAAAATCAAGAAGAATTATTGTCAAATTTAGGGTTAGGGTTGGTGTTTGGGTTGTATTTATAGCATGAAAATAAAGACCACGTGAAAATTAGCACAACACCACTTAGAATACTGGAGGGTTGCACTTATATCTCAGTCGAGCCCATTTTGTACTCCGGTATAACCGCCTTATCATACAAGGTGGAAACCATGCCCACGTGTCAATTTTAATGCAGCAACCTCCAGCGAAGAGGGATCAGTAAGCGCGTGCATGGTCTTTTTAAGTTTGTCTTGACACCGGGTACGGGCAGGTGAGAGGGAGAAAGCGCGGTGGAATCCTACTTAGCCCCAAGTAATTTTTAAAATAATCTAATGTTTTCGCAACAAAATAGCGCGCCATTTATAAACACAGAAATTTACTTACACTTAGTACTTAATTATATTTTATCGGGTGCGACCAATTTCGGCATTTTTTACTTATTAATACTTTATAGTTTATTGGGTTTCGTGATAGTCCTGAAAAATGGTAGTTAGGCGGTCGTCTACTTCAAATTATCTGAGGTCCAACTTAGCCGTCAGGAGTTCGATTTGTATAGTTTACGGCGCGAAGCATCGCGCACATCTTCAGCTTACATGCGCAACAAATTTAGGTTAATTTTTTTATTTGTTTTGTTTAAGTTCTTTACATTCAAGTTCGGTTTTCACTTTATTTTTCAGTGCATTATTATGTTTACTATCTTTATCTTGGTTTTAGATTATTTTTAGTTAAGCGAGTTTAGTTTACTTTAGTTGACGATTTCAGTCAGTTGATTTTAGTTTTAGTTAGTTATTTTTTAATTTATTTTTTCCCAACATTTGCATGATTGCACATTGTAATTATGGTGCACTTTTTTGTTGACAAATATTAGATTATTTGAATAATTATTTCTGCCTTTTCTACTTTTATAAACTTATTTTTATAATTTATATTTCCTTTCCTTTGTATTGCCCTAAATGTATACTTTTTATTACTCCCTGTCCTGTATTGCGAAAGGATGGGGCTTGCGTGTGCTGACCTGGGACCTAAGGTAGGATTCTACCGAAAGTCCAATAGTAGTAGCGAAAGCCTAATACCACTTCAAATTAATTCACGCGCAAGTCATCCGGTTGCTTCCCATCTACCGTGAAGCTCGTAGTGGACACCGACGAAATTCGACGAGCAGACTGTCATCGTAAGAATAGACAGCTAGGAGGGACAATTTTTCACCATCACTCGATGACCTCCAGCGTGAGCCCGAAACGACAGGCATAAGAACATACTTGTCTGAATATACAGTACGCACCTGAATTCGTGCAACATGCCGACATATGCGAAAGGTGGATACTATTTCGCC